CACTGTGAGGGGGGCGGTGGGGTCGGGTAACCCGGAGTGTAAACCCCCGGGTACCAATAGCTTAATCCTAAACCTTATTTGAATAGTTGATGATGGATATGGATGAATTGGGATTTTAAAAAAGCTTCGGAAATGAACAATAATCGACGAATTCACCCTTTTAAGATAGTAGGGATTTTTTTAAGGTCAAGTTCACGTTCCGATTTAAGTTCATCGAGTTAGATATTCTTTTATTAACGGCTTTCTACTTTTTCAATTTTTTTTGCTAATTTCAGACACACAACAATCAACGTGTCTACTAGTATGTAGAACATAAGATAATACTTGAATTCCTGTTCTTTTACGTAAATTTTTTCGTCATTGATGGTTCATTGGATGAGTTCTTGATCTATTTTCCTAATTATTGCCTTCAAATAATTATTGATTTTGAGTCAAATTTTGGAACAAAAAGGAGTGTAGTTTGCCATAATATTTTTCTTTTTACATGGATTTAAAGTGTTAAGTTGTATCACTTGTTATGCCTTTTGAAAATAATAAAATTATCATTTCCACTTCGATCTTGAAACTAAACTTGTGCGTTGTTAAACATCACTTTATTTGAATTTGGAAACAAGGAGAAAAGAAAAAGAACTGTACAGACAAAATCATGTTCTCACACCAATCTACCTAGATAGGTTAATGATGGAATGAAAATGAACAATCTAACACATTTGCAAGAAGTTCCCCAAACTCGTTAGCTTAAAACCAACCCAATCACATATTACCGACATCAAATCGCACGCCGACAAATAAGTCTTGACCTTTTTTAACACGAAATAGAAATCGCTTAAAAATAAAATATTTTTCTTCGTGTTAGAAATCATTTAGCTCCAATTGTGCAGGTAGTAGGGTAAAAATGTACATTCTAGCTACTTGAGCAAATATTTCAATAAATTAAATTTTAGGCATTGGATAGTGTTCTTTCCCAACTTGTTATGCTTTGTATTTTTCAAAAGATACGCCTTCATAAACTTGATTTTATAATTTTTTGTTAGTTTAGAGATTGTTTGGTAGGGATTTTTTGGGGGAAGAATTGATTTTGAATAGTGATATGATGGGAAATATGTGATTGAAAAAGAAGAAAAAAGTATTGATGTGATAAAAAATATTATTTTATTGAAGAATGTGTGATTGAAAATGAAAATTGATTTACTGTAGAAAATGAAAATCTCTATCAAACATG